TCCCCCCCATCTCTATATTTAGAGGGATCCCAAACTCAAAAATCTACTCTTATTTAAACAATATATATTATTATTTGATTATTATATATTAAATATATTATTTGATAACTTTTACGTAATGATTAATTACAATTTTAGTAATTACCTAAAAGTTATNTAGTATTCCCCCCCATCTCTATATTTAGAGGGATCCCAAACTCAAAAATCTACTCTTATTTAAACAATATATATTATTATTTGATTATTATATATTAAATATATTATTTGATAACTTTTACGTAATGATTAATTACAATTTTAGTAATTACCTAAAAGTTATCAAATAATAAATATTATTGTCTAAAAGTTACGAAATAATGAATTTGGAAAATAAATTAAAATTTTAAATTGAAGCATTTAAAGATAAGTCTCGCTTTTATCCAAAGCTAACAGAAGAAAAAAAATTGAAAAATCTGACATTAATCTGCATTAATCTCCGTCAAAATGTCAAGGCAATTTGCAACGCCTAATTTAGAGCATTATTTAAATTCATTAGGGAGAACAGTTTGGCAAATAAACTTTCGGTTACCCCTCCTGTGATAACGCAGGGCGACGTGCTTCGACAAAGCGAACATAATGGGCACGTTGATCGACAGATTCTCGATCACCTCGTCGAGATTCGTCGACCTTAAGACCAGATAGGCCATTTGAGGCGCGGTGACGAACATCACCGTCACGAAGACCGTCGACCAGAACACGAGTGACGATATTTGCTGCGAATGCTCTGACCTCGGGTCTGGCCACACGCCCAGCAGTATTAAATTGTATTTGGTCCATCCCATTGCATAATCCATTGTAACAATCAAATCGACGTCGATCGATGGACACGTTTCAATGATTTCGTCGCATTGCGATCGCGAATGTTGATTTCCAAACGCAAAATATTCGCAATGTTGCTAGTGGATTTTACGAAGCTCCCGATCAGAGGCAACAATTTGATACTCTAGAATCCATAAATACTGTGATTAGATACTCTGTTCGAGCTTGGATAAGCATCGGATTGGTGCGTATAAAATTTCGGATTTTTTCGGAGAGTAAGAAGAACGGTGTTCATATTGTCAATTACAGTAAGCTGCGACATTGTTGCCAAGTTTATATCCAGGCGAATAAAGAAATTAGACGAATATACCATGTTTGCCAAAAATTACTTTAAAAGCCGCACAAATGCACGATTTTAGCAAATTATTCTCCAGAAAACTCTCCGATAAACTCTCGCGATAAGCGCGTTACGTTAACATGAAAATAAAAATAAGCGCATTATGCAAGAAACAAGAGAATGACGAGATCAGTAAAAAGAAGCTTTCGCGAATAAACGAAATCTGACATTTCACGTGCACCGACCTAATAATAATACTAAATTCGAACCAATAATCTCACAAGTCTCTCGTAAGTTTCTTCTTCGCTTCGTTCTCCAGATTAATTCCAGGAACTCAGAACTCCCGCAAGTTGCCGTTGAATTCGACCATAATCGAAAGGATTCTCTATCGCTGAGATTCTCCTGGGAGCCTCGGAATTTTACGAAGGATTTCCCGGTGCGCGTACAGATTACACGAATGCTCGCAGACCGAGGATGTTTCGACAACTAGAGTGCCGGATTGCGCGCAACCCGTTACCAAACAGGAGCTTCATTACGCATTCGTTCTCTCGCACGAAAACGTTTCCCGATGGGAAGTTCTGATAGCGACAGTCTGGAAGTTCGCGGGGGTAAGCTACCCTGCAATTCGAACTCTTTTCGTCCGTCCGGCGTGCCCGAAATACTAGTCTAGAACGTGAAAGTCTGGAAACAATAACTGCGAAACTTAGTACGCGATGACCAAGAGATTGCATCGGTATAAATACGCACAGTTTTCGACGACTTGCGTTCGCCTAGCCATTTAACTACGAAAATTTTATGAGCCGCAACTGTCCTTGACACGTGATTTTAAGGTTTTTTTTACTGTGTTGTGTAGACTCTGCCGACGATTCCATTGGCTCTCTTTAGGTTATTTTGTGTTACTTTGGGACTAGTTATTAACCCTTTGGAAGAAACAATGAAATTATTCGAGCCTTACGGCTCGATTTCTCGTCTTCTCGATTGTCAACAATTATAAAAACGAGACGCTCTCATTTTCCAAACTGTGTAAAAACTATGTAAAAACTGTGTAAAAACTATCACTATGATCGTCGGAGAACTTTTTCCTATCGCCATCGATGCACCTTAAGATGACACCGTCTTTGCCACTTTCCTGCGCCTTTAACCCTTTGCATTCCGCTGTCCCCTCTCGTGGGACATCGTAATTTTAGCATGTCACTCGGATGTCCCCTCTCGTGGGACATTCAAGTTTATTAGTGATTACGGGGAATTGAGTTATTACAGCGCAACTTCTTCAGACATGCATGTTTCCCTGAAGTTTTCTCTTGAAATGTCACAAGAAATCAAATCAAAATGTAGTAAAATTACTAAGGTATATACAAGAAATGCCAGCGGGTTTTGACGAGAACGTGAGAGGCGTGCTCACGACGGTCCGAGCACTTCAAAGGCGTCATTTGAAATGAGCGATAAGGCAAGTTTGTAGGAGAAAGATCGGTATGCGAACATAGCACGCACTGTATAGTGAGATTTATAATCATAAAATCTGGAGGAAAAGATTTTCAAAGCTGAACTCAGTCTGGTTGGAAGCGTCGAGCGGTATAGATAGATCTAACGAGTGAGAAAATCGGAAACGTGATTCTTCTCTTGGTAAATAAATTGTTTGGTAAAAGCTTTTTTGGTAAATATCATCTTGTGAGTTAGTAATAACAATTAGAAATTTTCAACCTACGTATTTATTTTCATATTTTTTATTAGAACAATGACAAAACGTTCAAACACGAATGAGTCTCATGACGCAAGTAGTAGCGAAGATGAGCTCCAGATAGACGTTTATACAGATATGTTAGAAAGACTAACTGTAGAAGGTTTTCTTTTACAGTTAGTCTATCGTTTTGATAGCAGTGATAGTGAAATACAATAATTTCTCTCTAATTTGCGCTCAGATTGGACAATTTTGGAAGGGGAGATACGATTATTCGAGCCTTGTGGCACGTTTTTATAGTTGTTGACAATCGGTAACTATTAAAACATTAATATATATAATAATCGTATATATTAATTATTAATATATGGAATAATCGTATATATTAATTATTAATATATAGAGTAAACGTACTCTATATTAATAATAATTATATAATAATAATAATAATATAATAATAATTATTATGTAGTAATATTAATTATTAATGTATAGAATAATCGTATCCACTCTTCCCAAATTGTCCATTTTTGTGTGCAATCTGAGCACGAATTAGGGACAAATCTTTATATCGATACTATAACTGTTATTTTTTGGTTCTGAATTTCAGTTATGGATTTCGGTTCTAATTTAATTTCACGTAACAAATACATTATATTTCCTTTGGAAAATAGTAAATTCAATAATAATGTTTCGTTTCGCGATTTTCTCGAATTATTCAAAGTAACAAATGATGAAAGACGAATGTTATGAGTACAGAATTTCTGTATTCGCACGTATAAACCGAAAACGATCTTTTCTTTCAGCTTACAAATCAAATGACTTTTAATGATATTGAAAGAAATTATTCTTCACTGAATCCACCACGGATTTGTTGATTGTAACTGGATCCTTCAGCATGACCCTATAGAATTTCACGTACGAGTGTCATCCGATTGTTTCGCGAAACCGAAACGCACAAATAAGTCGCAAAAAACTGCTTCACAGAACGAAGATACACAGGATCATCAAACATGTTTTATTCAAACGTTTCTTCCGAAAGGGGACCGAGCGAAATGAACCGTTCCAAAAGATACTGTAAAAAAACACATTTATTGCTAAACTTATACGTACATTCGATGCATTTTTTCGAGAAACCTGAACGCCCTCCGTGAAATGGGAACGAAATAAATATCATTTGCAACAATGTTCCGCGTCGGAACGCGCCGCGCGAGTTAACCCTTTACACTCGAAGCCATATTAACTGTAAAATTTAAATGAACTTTCCCGACTTACGGTATTTCCATTTTAATGACAAAGTGCATTTTATGCACATGAAATTGAGTCTCGTGACTCGTACAACAGTTAGACTTTTAACAATTCTTTACACGTGAGCTTCGTTATTATAAAAATTTTCTTGGAACGTGGTGTAACAATCTTCGTGGTGCCTCGGAGTCACCACTCGAGTGCGAAGGGTTAAACGATTCGAACCGCGTCGCGCGTCGTTCACGGCGTTGAATGAACGTGGATCGCGCGCGTCGTCAAACCAGGCGATCGAGTGAAAGTGAAGACATCCATTTGGGAAACTCAAATTTGACCCGAATCTCGTGCTCGAGTCGCGTCGCGCGAACTTAACCTTTTAGACACGACGCGCCACTATAGTGGCTTACTCTAGTAGCTCACTCGGTCATCGTTTGAATCAAATAGTCGTCTTCATATGCATTGTTACACACTTCTTTCGTCTTCGCATCGATTTACAACAGTCTACAGGGTGTCCCAAAAATGTCTCGCAATCCGGAAATGGCGGGTTCCTCGGATCATTCGAAGCAACTTCTTCCTTTACAAAAATGTTCTCCGAGGCACCGTTAACGAGTTATTAACGAAAAACAGTGACCAATAAGAATCGAGTACGGCTGACGCGAGGCGGCCCAGCCAACCAGCGCGCGAAGCCCAGTTCCGCTCATTGGCTCGATCGCCTCGCGCCAACTGAGCTCGCCTCTCATTGGTCACTGTTTTTCGTTAACAACTCGTTAACGGTGCCTCGGAGAAAACTTTTGTAAAGGAAAAAGTTGCTACAAATGGCCTGAGGAACCCGCCACTTTCGGAATGCGAGACATTTGGGGGACACCCTGTATATACAGTATCAGACTCTGTACAGTACACATCAGACTCTGCCGTCCAGAGGAATAGCCTCGCGCAGAATTCAGCCGTACCTAAAAGGTTAATCTGCCGGCTGAACGGTTTAGGTCAAGTTTAGGCTACCCAGGCCTCTCGGAAGTCTTCGAATCGATCGCCTTTCTCGATCCTGAACCTTATTTCTCTAAGGTATCTTAAAATTAGTAACTTAGGCATGATATTAAATAGAGTGGCAGGTATGTACACTTTTGGCTCGAGACCAGGTCCGTGATCTCTTCTCCGAAAATCATCGTGAAAGGAAGAACGACAACAAACGGTATATAATTGACCGCCTAATAATAATCGTATCAAAAGTAATAATAGTCTTCGATACAAACGCGACGTCGCGGTATCAACGTGTGACGTCAGACAATCGATGCGTAACAAACATTCGCATTTCATCGAATCGACCATTTTCTTTCGTTCTTCTTTCTCTCTTTCCGTAGCTTCTCCGACTTCGGCTAAATTATTATCGTTAAGTTCCCATGAAGTTTGGGCACCCTTCGGGTGCACACGGTGTTTCAGAATGTGACTAACCGAGTTTAATTAGTTCAAGCGACCTGAATGCCAGACGCGTATTAAACGCAAGGGAAAGTTATCGAACGCGTACTGTTGTTCGCCTAAATCGTGCGCTATAAACTAGTTTATTGTTATTTGCTATGTAATACAACATCTTGCAACAAATATGTAATATAATATAATCTTGCTTCTCGATTCTGAATTCTTACTGATCATGCTAGTCGAAAGGAGAAACAAACGCTTGGAACAACGGAATACGTCGACGTTAATTTCTTCGACAGATTAAAGATTAGGCGGGCAGAAAGATTTCTAAATGGCTAATATAAGTTGATATAAGTCAATATAACTGAATATAGCTTTCTATGTCCTCGAAGTGCGATTTTAAAAAATGAAAGTTCGTTCCTTTTTGTGCCATAATGTGTCCAATAGAATTTACGATCAGTGAAATGACGAAAGTAGGCAGACGGCAGTTAAAGTTTGTCGTGATAAAGTATACAGCTTCACCGAATATAGTGCACATGATTTCAAGCTGTGGAGAGTCTACTTATAAGGACACTTTTCAATTACCCTTCAAGGATTATTTATCCTGTTCACAAAATTCATTTCACTTTTCGCGTTTAATTATCTCCTAATCTTTCAGTATTTCAAAGGTATGTACGACTTCAAAGGCGAATCAGTACGATTTATAATTAAATAAAAAATTTATAAACAATTATAAAAGTGGAACGATATACATGGTGTCCCAAAATTGTGCTACTTCCGGGAATTGAGGGATTCCTGAGGTGATTTCAAGTAACTTTTTCCTCGGCGAAAATGCAATCCGAGGCTTCGTTTACGAGTTATAAACGAAAAACAGTGACCAATGAGAGGGCGAGATCTCAGCTGACGCGAGGCTGCCGAGCCAATCAGCGAAACTGGGCCTCGCCCGCCTTGCGTCAACAGAGCTGACCTCTCATTGGTCACTGTTTTTTCATTAATAACTCATGAACGATGCCCCGGAGAAAATTTTTGTAAAGGAAAAAGTTATTTCAAATGACCTCAGGAATTCCTCGTTTCCTGGAAGCACCATAATTTTCGGATACTCTGTATAAATAGTAAATCAACGTAAGATATTCTTGGAATATAAATGTCACCCTGTCGGTTCACAGAGTACAGTAATTTCTGTCACATCGTCCCTCAGCTTGTAAATAAAAATTGATAACTTTGGAAGATACGATTATTCGAGACTCGTTTTTATAGCTACAATTGCCAACGACAACTATAAAAACGAGCCGCAAGGCTCGACTAATCGTATCTCCTCTTCCCAAGTCGTTCATTTGTGTTCACGAGCTAAGGTAAAATGTGAACGAAATTTCCGTATATTCATTTAGAGAAAAGCAGCAAAGAAAATTTCGCAAATCGTGCGACACTAACTCGTACGATTAGTACTCGTACTATACTCTCCCATGCTTAATTTCACAGACATATTCATAGAAAATCGCATTAAAAAAAAGACTGAAACGACGATGAAAAAAATCGTTTGTATGCCAGAAAGATCTCATTAAAAAAGAAAAAAAGAAAAAGCTAAAACTACGGTGAATTTTGTTAAATAATTCGAGTTAGTATCTCGTAGAACGATCATCCAGTCCATCGGTTCTCGAAGAACGCACATTCTGAAACACCGTGTCCTACTGTTGTAAAGACTTCTGCCAGTTGTCGAAGATCCGACGGAATCCGAGCAGCACGGGCTCCGAATTGGACGTCTGCAACGTCGACGCCGGTCGGATCACGCGGAAGAAGCCGCCAGCCGAAGGGAATCAAATTCGTTCGGGATCTCATAAAACGCCATCCGGGCCTGCTTTCACCGCGAACGGCGAACGATTTATCAGCGTCGCTTTCCACGATCGAGGCGGTTTCGTGCGCGGCCCCCGGGGCGACGGATTTAGAAGAACACGTTGCCGGGCCTGGCCTGGGGACACAGAAAGCTGGAACAATCGTGCCTCCGCACCGCATCCATGACCTCCTGGAAGTGGCTGGACACCTGGACGGCAGCCCCCGGCTGGATTCTGCGAAGGTATGCAAACGGCGAGCGATTAATGGCCGATAGAAATTCATTAGAAAGCACCCGAAGCAGCGTCGCCCGTCGAACAAAACGGCGCGGCGCGACGGCCAAGCGATATAATTGATAGCCGACGGAATAAGTTAATGCCTCTGTAATTGGCGACGGTGTCGTTTCAGCTTGTTAATAAATCGCGCGGCGAAAAAAAACAGTCGCCGTCACGTCGGGTCGAGTCGAAAGCCGGCGTTGAATCACGCTCATGTCGATCGGATCGGGCCGGGATGAGGGATCAGCAGGTATTAGAGAAGACGTTGGAATCGATCAATCGTTCGCGGAGATCGATGAACTTTCGGAGGCGACCGATTTCGTTTGATCGCGTCGAAGAAAACTTGGCGCGCCCCTCGAATGTAATAAATTCGTGTTATTCAAGGATCTTTAATACTAAATTCTCGCATAAATGTTTAACCCTTAGCACTCCGAACCATTCTGGACGTTGGCTATCAGCTACTCAGCGCCACTTTTCGGCAGAAACGGGCATTTACAGACTCTCGTATTATTTAGTATGGTTTTGGAACTAACTAACATATTATAATGATATTGGACTTATATGAATTGGCTGAATTCGAGAAATTTGCAAAAAAATCAATATTTTATTTTTTATAATTTTGTTATCGTTTGTTTTATAATTTTGTTTTGTTGTTGTAATCGCTATATATGCGAACTCTTTCTTTCGTCGCCTTGTTGCTTGGACGATATCACTATCACTGCTATCAAAACGATAGACTAACTGTAGAAGAAAACCTTCTACAGTTAGTCTTTCTAACATATCTGTATAAACGTCTATCTGGAGCTCATCTTCGCTACTATATCGCTAACTATTTTAACAGTTATAGTATCGATATAAAGATTTTTCCCTAATTCGTGCTCAGATTGCGCACAAAAATGGACAATTTGGGAAGAGTGGATACGATTATTCTATACATTAATAATTAATATTACTACATAATAATTATTACTATATTATATATTATTATTATTATATAATTATTATTAATATAGAGTACGATTACTCTATATATTAATAATTAATATATACGATTATTCCGTATATTAATAATTAATATATACGATTATTATATATATTTATGTTTTAATAGTTACCGATTGTCAACAACTATAAAAACGTGCCACAAGGCTCGAATAATCGTATCTCCCCTTCCAAAATTGTCCAATCTGAGCGCAAATTAGAGAGAAATTATTGTATTTCACTATCACTGCTATCAAAACGATAGACTAACT